CAAAACACGAACAGGAATATCAAATTGTGTTTTTATATTAGTACAAAAAGCATGAAAATGAGAAAACAATCCAAACCGACTTCTCATGAAATATAACCAAGTCATACGAGAATAGTCATCAACGAATGTAACATAGTACTGAAACTCAAATTTGAATATAACACGACAAGCACCCAGACATCACAATGAACTAATTCAAACGGAGAATTTGCTCGTTTATGAACTCTAGGACTTAAACTAACTCGATGATTTTTAGAAAATTGGCAAGACTCACAATTTAAAGAAGGCACATGATGAAATTGAGGTCACATTTTTTTCAACAAAGGTAAAAAGGATGACCCAAGCGACAATGAGCTTCAAAGGGAGTACCCATCTCCAAGCAGTCAACGGTTTTTGGTATTTGGGAATAAGGAATGTAGAGACCACCAGACTCCCATCCCTTACCAATAATTTGCTTCATAGTAAAATCCTGAAACAAACAATAATTAGGGAAAATGTTATAGAACAATTCAAAGCACGAGTGATTTGACTAACAGAGAGTAAATTAAGAGACAAGTCTAGGACACTTAAAAAAGATGACAACGAAAGGTTATGAGATGGATTTGTAATACCAATACCAAGCACCCTAGAGGTGGAACCACCAGCTAAAGTAACATGAGAAATGGATCGGGAATGAAAAGTAGACAAGAGGCCAGAGTTGCCTGTCATATGATCCGTGGCTCCTGAATCAATAACTCATTTGGAATTATCATCCGCCACAACACCAAATAATAAGGTCTCAACATGCCCAACAAGCCAATAACCACAAAGAAATAAAAAATCCAGCCACAAGCCAAAAGTTGGAAAATGTCTGAACCAAAATAGCACAGAAAAATGTGTTACCGGAATCTCCAATGGCAAAAGTAAGCCCAGAACAATGATGTAGATGATAGAACAACGCAGGAAAAGGAAGTTGAAGCTGATTTTGGCGGCGCACGCGTGAAAAAGTCGACGAGAAAAATAGCGGCACGTGGGGGATACACATAGGGCAGAACGACCCCAAACTTGGCGGACTAGTCGATCGGCAACCTATGACTCCTCTGGTGTAGGTGGTGAGAACAAAGGGCCAGCAGAACTCCCGACCCGAACTTCTGCCACGAGCGTAGAAGAAAAAAAAAATTCCTGATTTTTTTTCTTCAAACTTGGAGCTCTTGATACCATGTCAAATGGAGAACTCCATATATTTTCATATATCTCAGACTAAGGAATATATATATTTATAAAAGAAAATATATAGTAACTACGGTAAGGATCCGAACCTATTCCCTAAGAATATACACGTTAATCCCTAATGTCATGCTAAATATTTTCCTACCATTTATAATGTCTAACATTGTGGTTGTTTATTTTCCTGAACAGTTAAAAGTGTTATTTGATCCTCAAACGGCGACATTCCAGCGTGTGAAAAATTCAGCGAGAGAAATGGCAGCGCGTGGGGGATACACGTAGGCATAACGACCCAAACTTGGCAGACTAGTTCATCGGCGGCGACTAATGACTCCTCTAGTGTAGGATGTGAGAACAAACGACCGGCAAAACTCCCGACCCAAACTTCTGCCATGAGCGTAGAAGAAAAAAATTTCCTGATTTTTTTTCTTCAAACCTAGAGCTCTTGATACCATGTCAAATGGAGAACTACATATATTTTCATATATCTCAGACTAAGGAATATACATATTTATAAAAGAAACTATATACTAACTAAGGTAAGGATCAGAACCTAATCCCTAAGAATATACACATTAATCCCTAATGTCATGTCAAATATATTCCTGCAATTTATAATGTCTAACATTGAGGTTGCTTATTTTCCCTAACAGTTAAAAGTGTTATTTCATCCCCAAATGGCGACGCGCAGATACGTGAAAAAATCAGCGAGAGAAATGGCAGCATGTGGGGGAAACACGTACCGCAGAACGACCCCAAACTTTGCAGACTAGTTGATCGACGACCGGTGACTCCTCTGATCTGGTGCAGGCGGTGAGAACAAATGGCCGGCAAAACTCCCGACCCAAACTTCTGCCATGAGCGTAGAAGGAAAAAAATTCATGATTTGTTTTTCTTCAAACCTGGAGCTCTTTTTTTTTTTTAGAGTCAAGAGTCTATAGCGCCTCCACTGAGGCTCGAATCCACAACCTCTCATATGGGAGTTTAACTTGATACTATTGGACCACAAGGTCCTTGGTAACCTGGAGCTCTTGATGCCATGTCAAATGGAGAACTCCATATGTTTTCATATATCTCAAACTATGGAATATACATATTTATACAAGAAACTATATACTAACTGAGGTAAGGATCGGAACCTAATCCCTAAGAATATATATATATATATATATATATATATATATATATATATATATATATATATATATATATATATATATATATATATATTAATCCCTAATATCATGCTAAATATATTCCTATCATTTATAATGTCTAACATTGAGGTTGCTTATATTCCCTAACAGTTAAAAGCGTTATTTGATATAACATTTATTTATTTTCACATTATCAACTTATTTTTTCCAACGATATAGAAGTAAATTCATGCTGATAAAAGTGAAAATGATGTATGTATATATCGTAATCAGGGGTTTTATTAATTTCTCCAAGATTCATTTGTTGGAATATAGTATGCAGCTGTTTCAAATTCCCGAGGCTCGACGGAATGGTTCCAGTCGAAAAGCAGAGAGTGACCAACGAGCCGAATTCCGGGCGCGGTTGCCACTACTGGAATTCTGCTGCTGGCCGAATCTACATCTGTGTTTGGTGGTCACTCTATGCTGCTGAGTCTAAATGCTCCTACTAAAGCTCTAAGTCGGACGTTAAAGTGATTGATCATCTCTAGTACGACATGTTCTGCTTGTTAGAGTTGATGTGTTTAGGAGACATGCTAGAAGAATAGCATATTAGACAAATCGAAGACTCATAGAGAAAATCCATTCCCAGTTTTCCCAGATCCAATATGAGGTCCGTACTTGAGGAATGGACTGTTGCCAGCGATTTGTGTTCTTAGGCGGTCTACCATGTCTGTCACATTTTGATTAAACTGAGCAGGATGCTCGAGACTGGTGCTACTATATTGAGTAATTTTAAGAGTGGTTCGCCGAGAACCTATGATGGATTCATATGAGTAATATATACGGCATATATATAGAATTAAGTTCCAGTGTGCATTTATGTTTCCCGTGTGGTTATGCGATGAGTAATGTGCGTGAGTTTTATTCTTAAGGTGCGTGAGACTTGTGCTTAAGGTGCGTGATTTTTGTACTTAAGGTGTGTGGGTGTATACTTAATGTGAGTAGTTGTTGAAACTTAAGGTGCATGGGTTTTGTGCTTAAGGTGCGTGAGTTTTGTACTTAAGGTATGGGAGTCTTGTGCTTAAGGTGCGTGAGTCTTGTGCTTAAGGTGCGTGAGTTTGTGTTTAATGTGAGTAGTTGTTGAAACTTAAGATGAGTGTGTTTTTGTGATTAAGGTGCGTGAGTTTTGTGCTTAAGGTGCGTGAGGGTTGTGCTTAAGATGCGTGAGTTTTGTGCTTAAGGTGCGTGGGTTTGTGTTCTGAAGGTATTTTGTTTGTGTGCTTAATGTGCGTGTGTTGTGTACTTAAAGTGCATCAGTTTAATGGTTAATGTGAGTCCAATCGCACAACCGCACGGGAAGCCCCCTCCCACACCTGATCCCTTCCGTATATATATATATATATATATATATATATATATATATATATATATATATATATATATATATATATATATATATATATATATATATATATATATATATATATATATATATATATATATATATATATATATATATATATATATATATATATATATATATATATAAACACACACACACACACATACAAAAATAATATTAAACGGAGTATATGTTGCAAAACTATATATACATTTTCTTTTATTCTCAGAACACCATATATGAATTTTAAAGTTCTAAGTCCAAGAAGTGCATGCTTCTTAATTAGTTATGTACGTAATTGTGCACACCCAAAGAAAATATATATATATATAAATATATATATATATATATATATATATATATATGAGTCATTTTCATTTTTCGTCCTAGACTTATAGGAGCGTGGATAGTTTTCATCCTCCATAATAAAAATTACCAATTAATAGCCACATTTATTGGTCGTTGGACACTTTTGGTTTTCCGTCTTGAAATCCGTCAGTTATCCGTCAGTTGACTGTCCAATTGAAGGGTAAAGTTATCTTTTTATGTTGTCTTATTCCAATCCTAAACTTCTAATCTTAGACGAAGTTGTACTCAATTAGACGGTCAACTTTTCGGCGGCGGTTGACTTGCCGGAAATCGGTAAAAAATGGCAGATTCATCTAGGATGCTTGCATGAGGCCAGATTGATACTCAGATGCATCAAATTGACGATTTATTGAGTGATCAACTGACAGACTGTATTCTCTTTCCAGAAATCGCGTCTGAGTTGCGAGAGCGAGGAGGCGCGAATCTCCGATCTGAAAACCGAGGTGCGTTCATTAATCAGAAGCGGTTGATTGAAGGTTTTCCAGTGAAATTGGCCATAATGCGTCTCCAATTGGGGGATGTTCAGAGAAATTTGCTCAGACCGGTTGCGATACTCCTCCGATTTGCGATCGTGAGGATAGGATCGAATCTAGAGCGGTAGTCAAGTTTACAGAGGTGGAGTGGAATTTGAAGGCTGAAATCGAGAGGAAGTTGGTTGTAGTAGGGCGATTTGGGAGAAATCCACCTGCAGTATAATTCCGCTAACATATCAGCAGTTCAAAATTCCCATTGGATGAAATGTCAAGAAACAAATTGAGCATATGCACTAAAAAACTCCAAGAAGAAACATATCCACAGTGAAGGAAAAATGGTTTTAGCCAAAAGAAAAACACGATCTATACTGCTAGGCACTACCACCAAAACCAACATAAGCACACTTGCACTCAGCTAAACTTGGCCTCCGAAATGTCCATTTTAGCCATGAATTTCTTCAGGATATCTTGTTTCTGCACTTCGTCACTTGTAGGGAGACCCATGGATTTCTGTCGCTGATCAAACATCATTTTTTCCACTGTTGACCTTGTCTCAGTGTCTAGATCTGATAGTTTACTGCTTTCTGGTTCTACCTTCTGGGTATCAATTTCAGGCTCACCCTTCACCAAAAATTTCCACCATTCCATTTGATCACTCTTGGTTAGGAGCACAGAGATGGATTTTTGGTCCTCCAGGCTCCAAAAGCAATCATCAAGCTTGTAGAGTTCAGCATCAATTAGGGCAGAGTTCCATGCGAGTCTTCGCATTTTGGGGGAAATACAAATTGGATCCCTAAATGCAAACACAATCCTGATTCGATGCTCTTCCGAAGATGATTGCAAAAGAATTTTGGCGAGAAACCGAGCGATGGTGGCTGAAGCAAACATCTGGTTCTCGCGGTGGTCTCCGGATTGGCAGAGCTTGTCGGGTGTCCAGGATTGAGTACAGCGTCGTCTAAGATTAGAAGACATAAAAAGACAACTTTGCCTTTCAATTAGACGGTCAACTGACAGATTTCAAGACGGAAGACCAAAAGTGTCCAACGATCAATAAGTATGGCTATTAATTGGTAATTTTTATTATGGAGGATGAAAACCGTCCACGCCCCTATGACCAAAAATAGAAATAACTCTATATATATATATATATATATATATATATATATATATATATATATATATATATATATATATATATATGCGAGTTCAGGTGCGGCGACCCTTTCCTGTGCGGACGTGCGGCGATTTTCAGAATACACCAATAGTTAAGCAAGATATACACCATCAATGTCAGAAAATGCACCACAAAAAAACACACACAAATTAGGTACGCATCACCAACAATACACCATTAGGTATGACTAAAAGCATCACACAGTGTTCAGAAATACACCATTAGTGGTAGAGAGGTATATGGTGTATTTTTTTTTTTTTTGGTGTGCTGTGTATTTTTTTGGTGTATTTTTGCATTTCATTGTGGTGTGTTTCCCTTACACTGTTAGTGTATTCTGAAAACCGCCACACCGCCGCACGGGAGAGTTTTTCTCTCCATTCGCAGCAGCCCTCATTCTTCTTCACACCCTCTCATAGCTCACTCTCTCTTCTTCTTCTTGTGCAGTTATTGGTTAGTGATTACAGCTTGGTAGGGTAGTTAGTGCATATACTATTTTTTTTCCTGGTTGTTTGTGTGGGTGAGGGTAATGGGTGGGTATGGGGGCGGGGGGCGGTGTGTATGCGCATGTTATTTTTGTGTTTCTTCTTCTTCACTGAGACTTCTCCAACCCTAGGTTCAAGACTTGGTAAGCTTCTCCTTCCTCTTCACTTTCATTTCCTCCGTTAGCTTTTATGGGTTGGTTGTAATGATGTGGGTTGTTTGTTGAGGTTATGGTTGTTTGTCGTGCTTGGGAAAACGAGGAGGAAAGGTTGTACAAGACAAGCATACGAATGGGTTAATATAATGAGGATTTAGCAATGGAGGTAAGTGGTTATGTCCGCCAAAATTTATTTTGCCCTCTTCTATATGAGTTTTAAGCCTGTGAACTGAGTTTTGTTATCTGTATCATTCTGTGTTTCCTTTCAAAATAAATGGTGGATCGCAGTATGAGAAACCTGAATATATATGTATATCTACTGTGTTTCATGCCCGGATATGTAATTTTCAAGTGTTTATGGATCTTGAGATGTGTTTTGAACTATAAATCTGCTAAAATTATGTTTCGAACTAGAGTATTGTTCCCCCACGGGACCAGGAGAGCCGTAGGACAAATCACGCATTTGGACAGAATGGGACCACGGGCCCCAAGGGACCTCGGGCCCCAAGGGACCTGTTGGTCCATCCCGTGAGTATCACGGGAAGACCTCATGGGCCATATGGACCCGTGAGGCAATCTCGTGAACTCACGGGACTCCTCAACGGGTCCCCATGGACCCGTTGGTCCACCTTGGTTCTCCACGGACCGGCCACAGGTCTGTGAGACCGTTGGTCTGACCCGTGGAGTTGAGTTTGGTTTCTGGAATCCAGTTGTCTACCTAGTGTTGGCATTTTGAAAATATTGTGATGAACCTTGTGTCGTGGTCAAACCTTGTGAGACATTTTGAAACCTATAATTTTGAGATATGTATAGTCTATGGTGATACTATGAAGTTCAGTGAAAATCCCTATCTTTGGGAGATTATATTTTGAAAACTTATGAACTCTGAAACTTATATAACTATGCTTATTTTGGAGGACATAAAACTATACTTATTTTGGAGGATATATACTATATCTATCTTTGGAGGATAAAATACTATTTTGGAGATAAACTCTATTTGGAGAATATGAATATTGATGGGTTGTATATATACCCTATGTTATTTTGGAAAACTATGTTTGAATAACCCGCGGGCAATGACAATGTTTATGAAAACCTATTTTGGAGGATTATTATTATTTTTGAAGGAAATCATGTAAAAATGTATTATTTTTGAGGATTATCCCTTTTGTGTTGGATTGTGTTAGAGGATATGAGAATCTAAGGCTTCGGCTCTATTTGTAGGTTGTGTAGGAAGCTCCGATCAACCATTGTGGACTGATTTGGTTGTATGGAAAGCTTCGACTCTGTCTGCAATGGGTCCAGTTGTGTGGGAAGCTCCGGATAGGTCGGTTGTGTAGAATGCTCTAATCAACCATTGTAGACTGATCCGGTTGTGTAAGAAGCTCCGGGTTACCTTTATGATTATTATTTGTGAGTAACCTGGTAGAAAAATCATGGGTTACTGGGGCTAGTAACTACCTTGGGGTTTGGATCCCTTGGGTGTGCGCACTTAAATAATAAGAGGTTACCTGCATTTACAGGTAAATATTCGATTTTTAGGTCTAAGTGCACGAAAGTCAAAAGTTGATGTGTTTAATTGGTACTTTTAAATGTTTAACTGTATAATTAACTTTTTGTATAAAATTCATGGGCTTATTTGATCCTTTTCAAAAAAAAAAAAAACGTATGAAATTTGGAATTAAAACAATAAATGGTTGAAGTAAATGTCATGCAACGGACTCATTCTTAAGTGCCCAAATTGGCCTTTCCATCTAATATATAAAATAAACAATTAAAATCAACCATTCAAATGTAAATAAGATGCCAACTTTTTTCCACCACAAATGAGTGGAATATGCATTTTGTTGAATTGTTGGTGACCTGTCAAATGCAACTTGAAAATGATGCACTGGGGCAATGGGGCCTACAACTCGGGACAAGATTAGAGTTTTCAAACTTTGGAAGAATGTATCTACATCTACATCTACAAATTTAATAAGAGCCAATAATGTTAGGTTCTTAATTGGAATAAAAAAATTTCGGTAGTAATTGTTTCTTAAAATGAATTTTTCATATTATTTTGAGTTTAGTATTTTTTTTAATGATTTTCTTTATTTACCCTCTATTATATTATTTTCTTCCCTTAAATAACCTTAAATTCCGTTAGTATAAACTTTAGTAACGAAATATTCCGTTAACTATTTATTATTTTTAACATACTCATTAATTTATATAAGAAAGGTCTTAGGTTCGAACTACATCCCAATTAAAGTTGGCATAATTGTTAAAACATTATATATTATGAATATGTTAAAATGTATTGAAAAATATATAATATAAAATTTAATATAAACTTTGGTCAAATAATTAGCCCGACTAAATACATAGCATTCAAAGTTGACCATCAAAGATTATAAATAAGGAACTTTAAAAATCATTTGATTTTCTTGATTTTTTTAAAAAAAATCTAGGTTAAGTTTTTTTTTTCGTTTAATTAATCTTCTTTTGATTAGTTAGAACAAAACTTAATATTTCAATTATGCATTTGCATTATTGGAATGAATTAGGTCGTTATGGTATTAATATTTTTTGTAATTTTTTTTATAATGATACAATTGTACATTACTTTACAAATATTATACTATTTTTTTTTATCGGACAAAATTGTTCTTACAATCATTATTAGACCTGCACGACCTAACTACAAAGTTGTTGATCATAAATACAATTATACATGGACTCTAAAACGGTAGGACCATTTTTCAAATAATTGACAATGTTAACATCCTACTAGCTCCAATTGAACAAGTTTACACATCAGAATTTTATCAATGCATGAAAACTTCTAAAGAAATTTGTAAATTAATTTTTACTATATCATTATAACAATATCTATTGTAACCATATGTTTTGAATTATTTATTATCATCATCTATTCACAGCAATTGTAGCAATTGCATTGACAAACTCTCAAAACAATTTGTCTCAACAAGGAATGAAAATTTAAAAAAAAAAAATCATTGATTTCATTATTGTTGATGAAAAGTATGCACGACACTTTATTACTCTTATTAAATTAAAAAAAAAATAGTAGCTACAACAACAAAATTACATATGCATTTAATTAATTTAGAATTACATGTCTATAATTCTTTATTTAAAAAAATTATTCATTATAAAAAAAAATTAAAAGAAATATAATTTCATTAGTTATATTATCTTTATTTTCTACAATTCAAAGATTAATTACCTTCAAATTTATTAATTTATTATATTCATTGTCTTCTTTTTATATTATTTTGTAATTAAATATCAAAGTTATGTCAAGACTCGAGACCTTTTGGTCTAATGGCACCCGGGTTGGACTCCCATATGGGAGGTTGTTGGTTTGAACTTCAGTGGAGGCGTTATACAGATAGTACATTGTAATAGAGTCAGTAGCATTCAAAAAAAATATCAAAGTTATAAATATTAATTTTTTGTTCAATACTTTCACACGATAAACTACGGCACACATCTCACAACACATGAAATATGTAGGGGAAAAACTATCACTACTAAATATCAATAGGTGTTTGTAAGATAAAGATTTCATATTAGAACTAAAATCGCAGTCATATAGGCAAATCTAAAGTTTCCTACACCATAATCTCATTGCATGATGAATCCCAAATGTACTGAAGATGAAAACAATGGCAATGCTACCCAAAAGAGAATTAAGAAGAATTAGAAAATTTAAACTAATAGTATTTATTTAGACTGTCGCTATAAGACTAAGTATTTAGACCAGCGTTATTACAAAGTTGCAAACATTTATTTTAGTGACAATTATAATCAACCTCTCATATATTATCTTGAATTTATATACTTTAAATTACCGATTTAAATAAACAAATTCAACATTTATTTACCTATTCATAAACATCTCCTATATTATATTGCATTGATATACTTTGAAATACTTATTTAAAAATAATCACTGAGCATTATTCCATTCGCGCAAAGCGCGTAAAAAACTAGTACATTAATAAATGTGGGATATACTCAACTAAAAATGTGTTAATAGAAATTGAACTCGTGACCTTTTAACTATTCATTTCAAAGGTCAAGCATCTTGTGCTCAGATGGCATGTAGTGACCTTTATCATGTGCGAGGTCATGAGATCGAGTTTCAGT